CAGATAAATTTCTCTAAAAAAACTAATGGGATTAATAAATAAATTCAGCAAGATTGCAGTAAAAAATTAAGACTATAAATATCTAGTGTATTTTTAAATCTGAGTAATAAAGAAAACATTTTAAAATATATGATTTAAACTATAATAAAAATTTTTAAAACATCGCAGCAAAAATTTAAAAGTTTATCAGTAAAAAACCTATATAATGAGCACTAGAAAATACTGTTGAGATAAATTAAAAGAAATAAAAAATGAAGGTATATACCTCCATTTTATCTAACATCAAATTTATCTAAGGTTCAATGCAATTTCTTCTGTCTTTTTATTTGTAGAAACTAAAAGAAACAAATCAGATATTCTTACTAAATGCAAAAGGCCATGATCACCAAAAAAAATCATGCTGGAGGATATATAATCATATCCCACAAATTAATAGAAATTTATAGTAATTAAAATGGTGGCAATAGAGTAGAAAAAAACAGAAAAACTCATAAATGTTTACTTGATCAATAACCAAGATTGATTCACAGCAATGAGGGAAGGACAATCCTATAAAATAGAGATAATATGCAAATTGATCATCACACCCTCACACAAGATGGCCACCCCCATGTGGGCACAAGATGGCCACCACAAAATGGCTGGCAGGAAAGGGCTTTTGTGGGTGACCAGGCCAGCAGGGGAGGGCAGTTGGGGGCGACCAGGCTGGCAGGGGAGGGCAGTTAGGGGTGACCAGGCTGGCAGGGGAGGGCAGTTAGGGTGACCAGGCCAGCAGGGGAGGGCAGTTGGGGGCGATTGGGCCAGCAGGAAGCAGTTAGGTGTTGATCAGAGTGGCAGAGGAGTGGTTAGGAGGTGATCAGGCTAGCAGACAGAAGCAGTTAGAGGTGATCAGGCAGGCAGGTAAGCAGTTGGAGCCAGCAGTCCTGGATTGTGAGAGGGATGTCCAACTTACTGTGGGAACATGCCTAATCTGGCAGTCAGACATCCCCCGAAGGGTTCCAGATTGGAGAGGGTGCAGGCTGGGCTGAGAGACATCCCCCCCCCTCAGTGCACAAATTTTGTGCACCGGGCCTCTAGTCTTTAAATAAATTGTGATTTTTAAAAGTTGATATTTTTGCCCTAGCTGGTTTGGTCAGTGGATAGTGCATTGGTCTAAGGACTGAAGATTTCTGGGTTCGATTCCAGTCAAGGGCTCATGCCCTGGTTAAGGGCTCAATTCCTAGTGGGGTGAAGGGGGGTGCATGCAGGAGGCAGCAGATCAATGATTCTCTCTCATCATTGGTGTTTCAAACTTTCTCTTCCTCTCTATTCTTCTGATATCAATTAAAAAATTGTAATTTAAAAAATGATATTATTATTGTATATATAAAAATCAATTACAGAGGGAATGATATCAAAAGAATGGCAGCTTGAGGGATCCCCTTGGTTTCAGCCTTAAAATTTCAGCAATTTGAATAGCTATAAATCAACAAAGGATTCCCTGGTCAACTCACAAAAATGCTTCAGAGATCTGCACATTGAAATATCTAAAGGTAGGCAAGTGGGAGCAAATGGGTGAGGAGAGAAGGGAGAAGGACTGAGACAAGCCACAGAAGCTCTACTGCAGCCAGTAAGTGGCTCATGGCTAGAGAGTGGAGGAATCTGGTAGTGGCTGGCACTCCCTTCATCTGGTAGAAGCAAAGAGACTCCACAGACATTCCTGCAGGAGTGAGCAGAATGAGCTGTGGCTGAGTCTAGAGATAGAGAACTGGGCAAGGACACAGCATAGGGTTCAGTCATGGTTGTTGGCTGGTTGGCATTCAAGACAAACAGAGCCACGGAGCCTTGCTACCTCAAGAGACACCTCTAAGCTGCAAAGAAAAAGTTAGAATCAAAGTGAAAGGTTGGAAAATGATTCACCAAGCAAATAACATCCACAGAAAAGCTGGTGTAGCCATACTTATATCTTACAAAACATATTTCAAAATAACAAAGGTAAAAAGAGACAAAGATGGACATTTTATATGGTAAATTGGGCACTACATTAAGGAGATATAATACTTAATTCATATGCACCTACACAGCATGCACCAAAATACATAAAGTAACTACTAACAGAACTATAGGGAGAAACAGTCAAAAGCACAATCATGGTTGGGGACCTTAATACTCCATTCAAAGCTCTGGATGGATCATCCAAACAGAAAATCAACAACAAAAAAATGTTAACTTTAAGTGACACATTAGACAAAATGGACATAATTGACATTTACAGAGCTTTTCATCCCAGAACATCACATTATCCATTCTTCTCCAGTGCACATGGAACATTCTCAAGGGTAGATCACAAAACTAGCCTCAACAAATTCAAAAAGATTGAAATTGAACCAAGCACATTCTGTGACCACAAGCTTTGAAATTAGAAATCAACTGCAAAAAAGAAGTAAAGAAAACCACAAACATGTGAAGATTAAACAATATACTATTTTTTAAAAAAGACTGGGTCAAAGAAGAAATAAAGGTGACATCAAAAGATATATAGAGATAAATGAGAATGACAATATGACATATGAATTTTGGGGATGCAGTGAAAGCAGTAATAAAAAAAGGAAGTTTATATCATTACAGGCCTATTTCAAAAAACAAGAGAATTCCCAAGTAAACACCCAAACATTACATCTTAAAGAATTAGAAAATGAGCCTTGACCTGGTAGCTCAGTTGCTTAGAGCATGGTCCCAATATGGAAAGTTTGCAGGTTTGATCCCTTGTCAGGACACATACAAGAAGCAGCCAACAAATGCATAAAAAAGTGGAACAACAAATATCTCTCTCTCTCTCTCTCTCTCTCTCTCTCTCTCTCTCTCTCTCTTCCTTTCTTCCTTTTTTCCTTTCTCTATCTCTCTCTAAACTCAAGTTTTAAAAATGAACTTGGAGGATAAGAATGACTGGAAAAAGAAGGTGAAGGGATCAGTTAAAGAACACATATGCATAGCCCATGGACACATATTAGTGTGGTGAAGGTCAAGGGAAGGAGAGGTGGGTTGGGTGGAGGTGGGCAAAGGCGGGTGGGATGAGGTACATCTGCAATAGTGTCAACATTAAAATTTTTAATAAGAAAATAATAAGAAAAAATAACTAGAAAAAGGTCAAAAGTAACCCAAAGTCAGCAGAAGACAGGAAATAAAAATTATAGCAGAATTAAATGAAATAGAGAAGAAAATACTATTCAAAAATTAATACAACAAAGAACTGGTTTTTTGAAAAGACTAATAAAATGACAGTCTCCAGGCCAGACTCACTGAGCAAAAAAAAGAAAAGACTCATATAAACAAAATCAGAAATGAAAGAGGAGAAGTTATCACAGACATCACAGATATACAAAGGGTCATACTAGAATAGATGAAAGGCTATAGCACATTCACTTATCAGAGCTTTTCATCCCAGAACATCACATTATCCATTCTTCTCCAGTGCACATGGAACATTCTCAAGGGTAGATCACAAAACTAGCCTAGAGAAATGCAGGCACATATGCAGCAGCAGACTTGCAAGAACAGTCATGGTCAAAATGAGAAGATAATCACTAAAGAGGAAAAAAATGCATACCCACTAAATCACTGAAAATAAATAGTGTGTGTGGGGGGTGGATCACACAGGTCAAAAGAAATAAGCTAAAATTAAATTAGAAAACAAATGTAACAAAATGGACATAGAAAATATAAAAATTTTGAGAGAACTACACTTACAGAAATTCATTCTAGAGGGGTGTAAGGAGTCATAACAACTTAATACAATAAGGATCCTGGAAGAGATCCTGGAACAGAAAGAAGCCATAAGAAAAAAAAAATAAACCATGGACCTCAGTTAATTTTTAAATATGCAAACTATTAATCATAATAACATCTAAACTGATAACTTTACAAATCAAATACAGATCAAATAATAAATTAAAACAATGTAGGTATTGAAGTAAATAGTACAGAAAAACTAAATGAGAATAGAGTAATATCAGGGAAATGCCAACTCAAAGGAACCTAAAGACATAGAGACAGAGTCAGAGCAGAGACAGAGATAGAAACAGAGATGGAGATGGAGTTAGAGGTAGTTATGTCAGACCAAATATACTTAAAACAAAAAGCAACATAGATATAAGAATATTCACTCTTTGTAGGTAAAAAGTTAATTTCTAGGAAGAAAACCAATTGCATTTAACATAAAACAGCTTCAAAATATAAAGAATGAATTAAGTTCTAGTGAGAGTTAGGCAAATACAACTGGATCGTTGGAGGTATCAATATTATTTCTCAAGTTCTGAGGGGTAAAGCAATCAAAATTAATAAAGATACAGAAAACTTGAGTCATTCTAATTATAATGCAATCAAGTTATACAGAATTTTATTCCTAATAATTAGAGACCTTTCATATTTTCTAAAACATCTGTATCAATCAACTTCACCATGCCTAAGTATATGAAGACAGGCACAACAAACTTCTTTGATTAATCATCTTACCAAGCACAACTGAAAAAAAATAATAGCAAAAAACAAATATAACAATAATGAATGATGGATTATGATTTATTCAATTCTGTGCAATCAGGTTAAAATAAATGAAGTTTCTCAGACGCAAGGATGGGGAGGTAAATAACACACATCTTATAACTTAGGGAAACAAGGCACTCACTTGGGAAGAATCCAGATGATGTAGGTGATGATTATATGATTGAAGGGACTGGTGTTTGTGACACAGAAAGATGAGTGTTGCTATTAATGGTTACACAACAAAGAAAATCGTATTGAATCCATGCTATACTTACTCCATACTTAAATTCTTCAAATGTTTCAAATTCAGATGAGTCAGTTCTCACATGTCCCGTATCTCCATGTCTTAGAAATTTGATAAAATGGTGCAGCATTTGACAAAAGCCCCCCCCCTTTTGTATCACATCTATATTTATAGCACTATATGACAAACAAGCAAAAATGAATCTTTAGGTAAGCTATCAATGTTTGCCACTAACCTCTGGAGGGCCACAATCACACTCCTCTCCAGTGTCCAAACGTTTATTACCACAGCTTGCTTCTAGTCTTCCTTGGACAACCACTTTTGAAATGGTTTGATTTTGAAGACATTCAAATCCAGGCTGTGAAACTACACCTTTATATTCATTCACACTGCAACTGCTAAAAGACTTTACACCACGGGAACGTCTAAAATTAAATTATATTCTTCAGATAAATGGAGTAAAATCACTATCAGAGTCACACTCATCAATATAGCATTATTAATTCTGTACACCTTCAGTCAGAGAAAAACAAGAGGGAGGGGAGAGTGCTTTGATTTTTAATGGAAGTCATAAATGTAAGCAACAAGTTCATTTATATTGTAATTTAATGTAATAGAAATCTAGAAAGTAGAGAAGTTAAGGTGACATGAGTTAGAATATATTAAAAACAACAATGCCTGGAACAAAAAAAAACTATTTAAGTATGCCCCATTATTCATTTTTGCATTATTATTGTCAACATCATATTTGTAATCATTATTATAAGTAGCGCTGATTATAATTAAGAATATTAAGTATACTAGAAAATATATATGGAAAATTAAAGAAGAAAAGATAGTTGATTGTGTTAGTGAAAAATCATCAACACTTGTTCCTTGGTAATAATCCATTAAAAGATCTCAACATTAAGTATATAAAATGTGTAAGCCTTAGATTATTTCTTAGTTTCAAATTTCTACATTTCTATGTGTACTGTTGAATGAGTTTTTGTTTAATCGTGTAACAATCTCAAACTTAGAAAAATAATACAAATATAGTCCAATATTTTTTTCCTGAAACAGTAAAAAGTAAGTTAACATCAGAATATTTTTCTAAATATGTTTTCATTAATTTTAGAGAAAGAGGAAGGGAGAGGGAGAGAGAGAAACATCCATCAGATACATCCTGCACGGCCCCTACCGGGGATCAAGCCCTCAACCTGGGCATGTGCTCTTACCAGCAATTGAACCAGCAACCTGCATGAGACTATGCTCAACCAACACCAACCAAGGCTAGCATGTTTTCATAAGTGTAAATATTTTAATGTGTAATTCATACATAGAAATGAATTCACCTAAAACAGATACTTTAAAACCAGGAAGTGATGACATATTATCAATGCCTAATGGTAAAATTTCATTCAGAATTTTCCTTCAGCACAATATTGGAACTTTGATAGCAAAAGGATAAAGTTCAGAATCAATCATTGCATTTAGTTCTCATGTGTCCTTAATCTAGTCACCTATGATTTTTCATTGGATTTTATGACCTCAAAAGTTTTATTATTACAGCCTGATTTTTTGGTAAATTGTTCCTATGAAATGCTTTCTTATAATTACATTGATGTTATGCAAGATATTTGCAATTTTCCCACCAATTTGGGTTCCAGTAATGGCATGAGCTTAATGGTATTTCAGGCTCAATAGGGTCAAGTTTGGGGTGTGCAGATGAGTCAATGATTTCTGAGCTCCCAGGTCTCTGAGATTTTAGAGATCCCACTGTGTTAATTTTATTTCCTCCTGCACAGCTACTTACTTCATGCAGGTTTTATTTTGTTAGTGGTTTGAACCCACCTGCTGGTATCCTTGGTGCATTCCAGTTTTGGAAACAGAGAATATGCTTTTGCTCTTTGTTTGTTTGTTTGTTCCCTAGTTTTATTCTTTAGTTTGCGAGAGACTTGGGGGGACTAAATTACCATCTGAATTCCATCTTCTCCCTTTTTTAAAACATAGTCCTCCCCAGGGAAGGAGCCATTCTATCTTGGTTTTTATTCTAATAGTGCCTTCCTTTCTATGACAAGAATGCAAAGCTATCTCTTAGGGCACCTCTTTTACTAGTTTCAACTCCTTTCTAAATTATCTGTCCATGATTTTAGTTCCCATCAATATGCTGATGGCTCACACACTCTAGATCCCTTGTCCTCAGAGATCCTGATCTATATAACTGTGCACTTAACTCTAATGAATGACTCGATGCCTCCAATATAACATATACAAAATGCCTCAAGATTTTGCAACTTCTCCATTCCTAATATTTGCCTTTTTCAATATCAGTTAATAAGTTGTGCTATCCAAAAACCTACAATAATACTTGCCATTTTCATTTATCTCGATCTTAATAAATTGCTGTATTTATGAGAATCATCTCCCAAATATTATTATAATGATTTCACTCTGATATATTGTTCACTCATTTTTAAAATAATTTTTATTAGCCATACTTTATAAATCAATTTAAAATGTTGGTTTGCTACATTGATCATAAAATCCCACCTCTCGCATCATGATTACACAATCAGGCTCTTTCCTACATACCCCATGTTAGTTACTCCTGGACTTCTTCCCTGATGGATTGTTCTTTAGCCTCCTTGCATTTTACTTTATTCTCCTTATGCCTTCTATATATGTCCTTATAGTCCAAGCTATTTCTTTTATTTTGCATTTTTATCACTCCCCCGCCACCCCCCGCTCAATCTCCTTATTCTAATCTGTTGAGTTTCTCAAGCTTCTTGCTATCCAAATATCAGTCACTTGCTTACCCTAAAAAGTACTTAACAAGTTCTTTACATGACCAAATTCATTCTTTCTCTTCAGGTCCCAGAATTATTTCCTAGGCCACGTTATTAAAAAGTTTCCTCTCCCCATGTATTCCTTATTTACCTCCTTCTGGGCACCTATCATAAGATGTTTATATTTTGTTTATTCTATGGCCACTTTTTTCTTTCCTGTTCCTAATGGGCTAACATTAAGATATTTAGAACTTACCTATCTTGTTAACCATTGATAAGGCAAACATATACAACTCTGCAACACAGTCAATGCTTGTTACATTTTTTAAATGATAAATAAATTTCACTTCAAGACTCTATAAGCCCCAGAAAGTCATTACAACAAACACTTTCTTTCTAGACATTGAATATAGAAATATTAAGCACATTTTCTACAATATCAAATCCTAGTTTTATTTCATACGTTTTAAAAAAGCACAAATATATTTAATAAAAATAGTCTTACTCTTAAGTGATCATGCAAGAGATTATACATCAAAAACTACTGCAAACATTTATCAAAAATAGATTGATAGAAACAACACCTTACATTGCTTGAGGATTCATAATGCATGTAGCTCCTGGACAGTTACAATTATAGATGTCATCATAGCTTAATCCCAGATTAACTCCAAGCAGCTGTGCAATAACTACTGAAAATGCCTCTAAAGACATCCTCTTTGGATACTAAATACAAACAAAAAATATGTTGCTTAAGTTATTTCTTCACCCATTTGATCATTTCAATAAATAATTCGTGGTCATACTACCTAAATGCAAATACACATTTAAGAAAATAGCACTCTAAAGCTCAATAATTTCTTAGGAATATGAAAATATGGTAAATTGTAGTGGATTGTTTTAAGAAGTGTTTTTTTTAAATCCAAATGGCATTGACATGAAACAAATTAATGCAATTTTACACTTTTATTGTATGTTGCTGATTTAAACAAAAATAATTTTAAAACAATTTTATAATAAGCATTTTTTCAGTCACTGTATTATTTTCCCATGAAAAGAATACACAAATTCTTAAGGGTTAAATTGGCATTCAGTTTTGACTTCATAAGTAGTTTTAGGAAAAAAAGTCAAATTATTTTATTTTTCTGAATAAGGCAGAATACTGTAACACCTTTCAAGTAGCATTTCTTTTGTTTAAAAAAAAGGAGAAAATAAAATACTTGAGAAGCAGTAATGTCAGGAAGACATAAACCCCTCACAACCAACGACCTTTTACTATCTGCACAGGTTTTCTTTCTCCATAATGCCATGGAGTTGGAATCACATGGTATTTAACCATTTCTGATTGGCTCCTTTCACTAATGACTTAAGTTTTCTCCATGTCTTTTAGTGACTAAATTGCCCATTATTTAGTCACAAAATAATATTCCTTAATATGGATTTACCTCAGTTTGTTTACCCTTTCACCTACTGAAGGACATCTGATATTTGGTAGTTATGAATAAAGCTGCTCTAAACATTCATGTGCAGGTTTGTATGTGGGTGTAATTTTCCAACTCATTGGTGTAAATGCCAAAGAGAAAAATATCTGGATCATATGGTAAAAGTATGTCAAATCTTGTAAGAAATTGAAAATTGTTTTCCACAGTATCTGCACCATTTTTCATTCTCATCAACAATGAATGGAGAGATCCTGTTTCTTCACATCCTCACAGCATTTGTTATTCCCTCCCAGTACAATTTAAATTGGAGTGGCAAGCTATAGTCTTGCCTTTTCCATATCTTAGTGGAAAAGCATTTAGTTTCTCACCAAAAGGTAGTGATATTAGTTATAGGATTTTTTATAAATGTTCTTTCTCAATTGAAGAATTTCCCTTCTAGTCCTAGTTTGCCATATTTTTAAATTATAAATAGTATTGGATTTTGTCAAATGCTATTGATCACATGATTTTTCTTCTTTGGTATACTGATGGGCTAGATTGCATTAATTGATTTTCAAATGATGAACCAGACAGACTTAAATGTCTGAAATAAATTCCAGGTATAATATTAACAAAAAGATATAAATTATGTTTTTTAATTCTTACACAAAAAAAATACAATAAATGACCTTAAAAATTCCCTAGAGCAGTGGTTCTCAACCTGTGGGTCGCGACCACCCTTTCACAGGGGTCGCCTAAGACCATCCTGCATATCAGATATTTACATTACAATTCATAACAGTAGCAACATTACAGTTATGAAGTAGCGACGAAAATAATTTTATGGTTGGGTCACAACATGAGAAAATGTATTTAAAGGGCCAGAAGGTTGAGAACCACTGCAGAGGGATTCAAAAGCAGACTTAATGAGGCAGAAGAAGCAATCACTCCTAAATACAGGTCAATTGGAATCACTGAGTCAGAGGACAAAAAAGAAAAAGAATAAAGAAAATATAAAGAGCCCATGGACACTGGCAAGCAGACCAGTCTATGGATTATAAGTCTCCTAAGGAAAAGGGTTAGAGAAAGGGGCAGAGAGCTTAACTGAAGAAATAATGGGCTGGAAAACTGTGGCAGAAAATGAACATGCAGATTTAAAATATTCAATGAACTCCACCGAGGGTAAATCCAAAGAGAATCACAAAAAAAGACACATTATAATAGGAGCAAAGACCAAATACAGACAGAGAATGATGAAAGCAGCCAGAGAAAACACTAAAGATTCCACATAAAAGAAACTCTTAAAACTAATAAATCAATTGCAGGACATAAAATCAAAACAAATGTGTTACGTTTCCATATACTTAAAACGAATAATCTCAACTGCACTGGATATTCCCTGCAGATCAGAAACATGAGACTCAGAAACTTCATGTTTAAAAGTGACCTAAAGTGCCGAAACCGGTTTGGCTCAGTGGATAGAGCGTCAGCCTGCGGACTGAGAGGTCCCGGGGTCGATTCCTGTCAAGGGCATGTACCTGGGTTGCGGGCACATCCCCGGTGGGGGATGTGCAAGAGGCAGCTGGTCGATGTTTCTCTCTCATCGATGTTTCTAACTCTCTCTATCTCTCTCCCTTCCTCTCTGTGAAAAATCAATAAAATATATTTAAAAAAAAAAGTGACCTAAAGTGTGTCATGGAGAGAATTGTACCCAGGCATGTTGACTGTTTTCACTGTTGCTGTTGGACTGAATCCCAGGAGAGGGAATGGAAGAGACATCATTACAGAGAAGCCTAGGACTTGTCATTGCAACACCTTACTCCAGTGCTCCCATGAGTACTAGGTGAATATGTTCCTAATTTCACTCATCATAGGGTAAAATATTTTCATTAAACAATCATCTATTTGAGATTCTAGAGGATATAGAAATTTGTTAAGTATATAGTTTTACTTCAAGTGCCTTTGTTTTCTTTTTGATTTTGTTCCCCAGTTTATATACTCTCTTTTTTTATTTTTCAATTACAGTTTACATTCAGTATTATTTTGTATTAGTTTTAGTGTACAGCACAGTAATTAGACAAACATATTACTTCACAAAGTTTCCCCCTGATATTTCTAGTATCCACTTGGCACCATACACAGTTACCATGATTTTATTGACTAGATTCCCTATGCTCTTATCTACTATTAATGGAGTCTTGTGCACGTCCTTTTGGTTTGTGTTGATGAACAGTTGATAGGCAAGTAGTGCTTTGGGGCATATATATTGGTTTTATATAGCTCATTTTGAATTTTTTTGACTAATTTGTTGAAATAGTTTCCAAAATTTGAAATTCTAGGTCTAAAGTATCCTAAATTTATATTTTTAGTCAAAACTGTAGCTTTTTCATAATGTAGATACTCCTCATCAATCTATGTTCCAGCATTTGCTTAAGGGAGTAGAAACTGTACAAAATCATTCAAAACCGAAAACATAGATATTAGTGTCTTTATTCTTTGATTGTGTGACATTGCAAAGAAATTATTTTCTGTCATTGTACAGCTCAATGATCATAAATTCTTAATAATTAATTGTTATTTGTATTATTTCATTTTCTTTCTCTTTTTTTCAGTTGCTTGGGCTGATTAGTGTTTTTGTTACTGGTTTCTAAAAGCTCCTTAAGACTAGAGATGTTAACCATTTGTCATGCATTGCAAATGAAATGCCATGTTTTTTTGTTATTATTTTACTGCGGTATTTTATTTTTTGGTTAGACAAAAGTTGTGTACTAAAATATAATTATGTCTATTTTTAAAAAAGAAAAATAATTCAAGTTGCAATAGCATATAAAAGTGAAATACTTGGGACAAACTTAAACAAGGTTTTCAAAGCCTTGTACATTGAACATGCAAAATATTGCTGAAAGAAATTACAGAAGACACAAATAAATGAAAAGTCCATGTCCATAAATGGAGGACATCATATTGTTAAGATGTCACTACTTCCCAAAAGCATCTTAATATTCAATGCAGTCCCCACAACAATCACAACAGCATTTACTGGTAGAAGTAGAAATAAAAATAATCTCAAAATTCCTATGGAATCTCAAGAGACCATGAATAACAATTTGAAAAAAAGAACAAAGTAGAAGGACTCACTTTTACTGATTTCAAAAGATAGTACAAAGCTAACGCAATAAAAATGGTGTTATATTGACGTAAAGAAAAACCTATAAATCATTGAAATAGAATAGAGAGCCTAGAAATTAACCCTCATATATATGTTCAAATGTCTATAAAAAGGCTACCAAGACCACAAAATGAGGAAAAGATAATCTGTTCAACAAGAATATCGAATGGAGAAAAGATAAGTCTCTTCAATAAGTGGTGATGGGAAAACTGAATACCCTCATGGGAAAGAGTAAACTTGGACCCTTATATTATACCCTATGCAAAATGTAATTCAAAATGGATGAAAAATCTAAAGATAAGACCCAAAACTACAAAACACCTAGAATAAAACATACAGGAAAAGCTTCGTGACATATTTTCTTGAATTTCTTGAATATAATTCCAAAAGCACTGGCAACAAAAGCAAAAATAGGCAAATGGGACTACATCCAACTTGAACTTTTTGTGTTTCAAAGGGCACAATCAATGAAGTGTAGAGAAAACCTACAGAATGGTAGAAATTATTTGTAAATCATGTATCTGATAAGAGATTAATATCCATACTTTAAAGAACTCCTACCACTTAACAACGAAAAGTCAAATTGGTCAATTAAAATAAGGACTAAAGATTTGAATAGACATTTCTCCAGAGATGATATACAAAAAGCCAAAATGCATATGAAAAGATGCTCAATATCACTAATAATCATAATAATGCAAATCAAAACCACAATGAGATATCACCTCATATCAATTAGGATGACTGCTATTTAAAAGCCCAGAATATGCCCTGGCTGGATGGTTCTTTTTTTTGGAGCAACATCCTATACACAAAAGGGTTGCAGGTTAGATTCTCAGTCAGGGAACACACCTAGGTTTCAGGTTCAATCCTCAGGCTGCAACCAATTGATGTTTTTCTCTCACATCTATGTTTCTCATTCTCTCTCTCTCTCTCTCTCTCTCTCTCTCTCTCTCTCTCTCTCTTCCTCCCTTTCTTCTTTCCTTCCTTCCTCTCTTTGACCTCATGTTCTGGGGTCAGGTGAGGATAAAAAACAACAGAAAATAACAATTTTGATGATGTGAACTTCTAGGATTATAAACTGGTGTAAACAGTATGATGTTTCATCAAATTATTAAAAATAGAATTACCATATGATACAGCAAAACCAGTTCTGGCTATATATCCAAAATAATTGAAATAGAAGAGGTATCTGCACTGCTATTTCGTTGCAGTATTATTCACAATAGCCAAGCTATATAAACAACCTAAGTGTCTACTGACAGATGGATAAAGAAAATGTTACACATACACACACTCACACACATATGCATGCATGCATACATACATACATACATGGACTATTATTCAGCCATAAAAATAATTTAACCCTGCCTTTGGATAATGCTAAATGAAATAAACCAGACAAAGACAAATATTACATGATTTCCCTCATACGTGGAATGTAAAAATGTCATACTCAGAAGCAGAGAGTACAATGGTGGTTGCCAGGAGCTAGGAGGTTTGGAAAATAGGGCCATGTTACTCAAAGGGTACAAAGTTTCAGCTTTGCAAGATGAAAAGTTCTGTAGATATGTTTCACACAGTATAAATAAACTTAACATTACTGCACTGTATACTTAAAAATAGTTAAGATAACTATATTTTACTAGTATATGTATCTTACCATTATAAAAATCCTTTTAAAATTTCATCATTTGAGTTTCCAAATCCATTAAAAAGCACTTTCTAAAATCTGTCAAAACAGTATGGTTGATACACTATATGTATTTTTCTTGAAGTATATATATTAACTTTCAAAAGGGTATGTAATTACTGAAGAAATAGGAATAAAATGCATACCAGAGCAATTGCTACAGCAAGTCTTCGATCGCATGTCCTTCCATGATATGTTGCTCCCATGTAATTAGGATAATCCCTATAACTAAAGAATAAAATTTTTCTTGAGAATAAGTGCATTTTAAATTATTAATAACTCAATGACTTTTTAAGAATTGGATTCCTCAATAGAGCTATGTTTTTTTAAAATGTGAATACTACATATCAAGTCCAATGTGATTAATCATTTTTGTGTTGGGGTAGATAGTTTCTGCAAAGTTAGGTTCTAAGAGATGCTTCAACATTATTTGATACACATCCCAGAATCCAGCAGTGGCTAATCCTTCCAAAAAATTAATCAACACTCTTGTCACTTCTGGGTGGATATAATGCTAGGATGTAAAACTCAGGATAGCTTATTGCCATGATTTGCACATAGAAAAACCTTTAAAGTATATAAAAATGTTGGCTTGGAGTGCAAACTATCATTATTCATTTTTATTCTTAGGGAATGTTGCTCCTGAATTCCCAAACCTGACCTTTGATTCACCTTGTTATCTGATGTTTTTATTTTGCATTTTGCCAACATTGTACTCGTATGCTATTTTTGGTCATTATATATAAAATTTTGTATATACTGTTTATAGCTAATATATCAAATAATTTGATAAGCACAATTATCAATGCAAATAAGGAACTTACATCAACAAGAATGCCATATCGTGGGACCTATGAAACAAATTTCTTCCTTTCCATGACACAAATCTTTGTAGTAGTTCATTAGCATCCCCAGTACATAAAATCTTATTTTGATCTGACCAGATCTCCAAAGATGTTAACATAACAGTCAGTTTCAGCTGGGAAAACATCTGAAAACAGAAGATACACGATATACAGTTTAGACAATCAGAAATATATTATTACATCTCTATACAGAATGCTAATATGTTCAATTTGCTGTAATTTGGGCATGAAACCCACAGCAAATAAAACAGGTTTGTAGGACTATACTTTTATAACAATGTAAATTTTACTCATACAAATCATGTTATTGCATAAATGAGAATGTTTCTTATGGATCATAAAAACTTACAGTGTTGACAAGACCAAAGATATGGACAATTTTCTCAGTTGCAACGGCCACTTCAGAGCCCATATAACCATACTGAAAGACAAATTCTGTTTCTTAATTTCTGGTAAAAATTACTAAGTTACCACATTTCAATATATATAAAATATTACAATAAGTGCTTAAGTGAAATGATAAAAGCAGAAGATTAAGATTTATCAAATGCTTAAGTTTTAGGCATAAACCTATAGCATTTACATATTAGTCAATACCATTAAAATGATAGAGTTATGATTATCTTCCTGTTTACACATACAAAAATTAAGGGTCAAAATTTAAAATTACTAAATTTAAGATACAAAAGTTAAGGGTCAAAATTTAAGATTATAAATACTAATGGTAAGCACCAGAACTCAAGTCTCTAGCCAAACCACTAAGTCTTTTGGTCTAACACAGAGCTCAGAGTACCATAATCGTGAAAAAAAATTTAAGAATATACCCTCATTTAAGAGAACAAAATAATATTTTCTCTGAAATCCTTCATAGTGTATGTTCACACACATGTCTAAGTGTTTGTGAAAAGCATAAAAGTGGCAGTTTGAGACTTTCAATTATCTCCAGCAAGTCTGCAGAAGACTAGTGACAGAAAAGAAAATGCATCGGCCACAGGTCTCTGATAAAGACAAAAGGGAGTCTATGATTCTCTTCTAGCTCATTGGAGATCGTTTGCACTTTGCTATTTATCTGTATATGACCTTTCTCAATAAACAACATTATAAATTTATACACTGCAGCATGTGTGTAGTATGGGTGAGGATGGACCTCTATGAGGCTAAACATGTGAAAAGCGACACAAAAGAAAAAATATATGATTGTGGAAATGAGTCAATAATCACAAAATATCAATACTATATAATATTGATATTATCATACTATATAATATTGATATTTATAGTCGTTTCCAAATGGCAATGACTATAAAAAACCCACTATGTGCAAATTCAAATTTAAAAACATCTTAATTATGAAGACATTTAAATATTAAAAGTATGAAAATATGTACAAGAAACTATTAGATAAAAAGCAGATGCCATATAATACGATAGTTATATTAATAGTATAATAGTTACATTATTATAAAAAAAGCTTGAGGCAAAATATAAACATAATATTTATCAATATAATTGAACAGTGATAAAATATTCAATTCATCAGAAAGAAGGAAGCATTCTAAACTTCATGGTAACTAATAACATAGCAAAAAAATGTATAAAATAAACTTTAAGAGAATTATAAATAGAAATTAACTGTCATAGTAAAGGATATTAACATAGTTCCCTTAATCATTAAGAAATCTAGGCTGCCATGCTGTCATGATGGCCGGATGGGTAAATACTGTGCTCACTTCTTCCCACAATGACATCAAAATTACAACTAACTTACAGAACAACCATCAAAGAGAACCTCCTGAAGACTAGCTGAACACAAGGCCTATGACTTAGGATAAAAAGAGGAAGCTATCACAAAAATGCTATGAGGAACAGAAATGCTGAAAAGGCTGCTCCCATACCCACACTGTGGCAGTTATACAAGGAGAGGGTTATCTCAGCAAAGAGGTCCCCTATGAGGAGCAAAAGGTTGCAGCCTCACACCCATCTTCCTGGTCCAGGACTCCAAGGCCAGGAAGAGAAGTCCCCATAACATTTAGCAGTGAAAACCAGTGGGGATTGCAGCTGAGAGAGATAGAAATGACTGGAGATCTAGAAGCTGCAGATTTTGCAGGGACTGGGCACAGACCCACTCGCTCACAAATTCATTCTCTCTGAAATCCAGCACTAGGACAGCAACTTGCAAAGTGTCAGGGACATACAAGGAGGAGATGATTAACTAGCTTCAGGGTGAGTGTTGAAGGAGCAGGGGGCAGGACAGCTCTCTGGAGCAGACACTACTGTTCCTTTGTTGAGCTCTTTCTCCACCCACCCAGGTGCCAAATCTGACCTCTCCATTAAATTGGCTAACACCCTTTGCCCCACCCTAGTGATTCCCTGAAACCCGCCCCAACAGACTCACACACCACACCCTGCCTGAATCTCTCCCAGTAGTTTTTCCACATAAGCCACCAACTTTGGCTTATCCTGAAGACTTTCTTAAAATCTTTCAAAGGTTCAAAACCCCCAAACAACCAGCAGCTGGTGTTGGACATGCCCTAGGCCTCTTACTAAGAGCCCCAATCACATCTTCAGTTCACAGCCTGGCCACACCCAGGTACCTACAAGCATAGGCAGCAACCAACTTCAGATCACTTTGTAGATCGTATCAGGTGGCCCCAACAAAGCACAGGAAATGGCTGACCTTAGCCTTCACAAGAGTCCCTCTCTTGAGGCCCCAGAATGAACACACTCATGGCTGGCTTTAGACCACAGCAGAGCAACACCAAACCAGCTCCAAAAAGACACCCCCAAAGGGCAGACACAGCAGGCACTAGAGCCCTACTATATCAAATCCCTTTTTGTGAGGACAGTCCCTGAACAACAGCTCATGTGCTGAGGTCACAACCTTTCCTCAAGGCCAGTCAACCTAAGGGTCAATCCCACCCACTGACATTCCAACAGCAACCGAGGATTAACTTCAACAAGAGGGCACTCATAACCTACAAAAATGAAACCCTGGAGCATCTTCCTCAGGTGACCAGGGAGACTTGCCAGTGGGCATTACAGGACACCTACTAGATAAGGCCAATCTGCCAAAATCACAAGACATAGCTGATACACCTAAAACATATAACAAACACAGGAAGTCAGATAATTCAAGGAGGCAAGAAACATGTCCCAAAAGAAAAAAAAAAAAACAGAACAAAACTCCAGAGAAATAACTAAACGAAATGGAGAAAAGCAATCCATCACATGAAGAGTACAAAACACTGGTATTAAGGATTCTCAATGCCTTAGAGGAAGAATAGATGAACTCAGTGAGAATGTTAACAAATTTATTGGAAACAAAAAATGAATATAGAAAACATAAAAGAGAACCAGTGAGAAATGAAGACTATAATAACAAAAAATGAAGAGTATATTAGAGGGAAGTAACAAAAGATAAGGTAAAGTAGATCAAAGCAGTGATCTGGAAGACAAAGTCTCAGAAAACACACACAATCAGAACAAACAAACAAAAAAAAATAGAAAAAAGGAAGAAAAGACAAAATTTTAAAAATAAGGATAGTTTAAGGGCCCTCTGAAACTCCATTAAGCATACCAACATTCACATAATAGGGGTACCAGAGGTAAAAGAGTGAGAGCAATAATTGAAAAGCTTTTCGAAAAAAAAAAAATGACAGAAGGTTTCCCTTATCTGGTAAAGAAAGTAGACATACAAATCCAGGAAGTACAGAGGTCCCAAATAAGATGAACCCAAAAAAGGCCCATACCAATATACATCATTATCAAAATGCTAAATGTTCAAGTCAGAGTGAGAATCTTTAAAGCAGTGAGAGAAAATCAGGTATTTCAGACTATTAGCTGATTACTGGACAAAAACTTTACAGGCCAAAGAGACTGGCACAAAACATTTAGTTACAAAATACAAAGACCTACAACTAAGATTGCACTACCCAGTAAGGGTATTATTTAGAATCAAAGGAGAAATAAAGATTTTCCTGACAAAGTTCATCACTTCTAAACAACTATTACAAGAAAAGTTATAGGGACATTTTTAAGAAGAATACACAAGATCATAAATATTAGACGTTAACAGCAAGAATCTTTTTAACCCATTGACATGGCAAGGAAAACTTTTATTTACTAAACATCTGCTCTTATTATCATCTTGCAGTGACCCTTCAAAAGCACCATAGCACATTACCTCATCCCTAGCTCAGAAGGTCATATATACTGCAATCTCACTTTTTAGCTCTGAAGCTCTCCTGAATGTAGGTCTCTAACTTTCATGTACATGAGGTTCAGATACAATGTATGTATTAAGTTTGGTTATTTAGTCTTGCAACAGAAAGAAAATATAGGAAAGAAAAATACTCTCAGACAAGGGCAAACACTTAGTAAAGGCAGTGGTTCAACCAATGTTAAAGCTCAAGGGTTAAAAATCCAAATTAGGAAAATCATGTGTAATCACACCAATAAATTAAGAGGCACACACAGACACAGATGCACAAAGGAATTTAAAAATATTATAAGGACATACACTAGGAAAGGTGAGTGAAAATTGTAGAGATTTTAGGATGTGTTCAACATCCTAATGAAGAGGCCACACAGTATTATTCCCACAGTATTATTATTGTAGCAGCAACAACAATAAAAAATGTAAATGCCCCCAAAGGGGATTAGCTCATAAAATCAATTAAATTATATTAAATGTATTGATTAGACAATATATTAAAATTATATTGAAATAACACATTAATATGAGACAGCATAAAATCATTTACAAAATAGCATATATAAAGCAAAAGTACATGAATATATACATATATGTGTGTGTATTATTAAAAACAGGAAAACATGCAAATACTTTATCTCCTGGAAAAGAAAATTGTTTTTTTCTTCATTATTTTGTTCATCTATTCATTCCTGTTATTGTTTTTAATAAAAATTATTTAGAGACCAGAATATTTCCTATTTTGAAAAAATATAGAACATTATGGCACTCATTGAGAGACCTGATGGAAAAAATATCAGTAATAATGGACAAATTAGACATTTTAACTTCTAATCTATATGGCTTTGTTAAAAATTTCCATAACTAAATGAATATTCTTATGAATAATTCTTCCCATTATTAACATGCAGAACTTCTACCAGGGAACCAAAGTGTTTATAAAGCATAAAATAATCTTATAAAAGAAAATACTCAATAACAGGGATCACCAAATGGGTAAAATGAAATGCCTTGTTTTAAAATGGAAATAAATGTAAGAAAGAAAATTTTACCACAATTGGGGGTAAATTCAGAAATATCTGCAGCTAGTTGTGTTCCAACTAGAGGCCTAGTGCACGAATTTGTGCATGGGTGGAGTCCCTAGGCCTGGCCAGCTATCAGGGCCAATTGGGGCCATCTCGCCCAGTCCCAATCGGGACCGGGCCAATCAGGGCCTGCCAGCTGGGGGGAAGGACAGGAGGAGGGACTGCAGGCTAGCTGGCCAAGGGGAGGGACCAAGGGAGGTTGGCAGGCTGTAGGAGGTTGGCTGCAGGCGTGCACTGACCATCAGGCAGCAGCTTCTACTTTGAGTGTCTGCCCCCTCATGGTCAGTGTGCATCATAGTGACTGGTCGACCGATCGTTCCGGTCATTCTGGTCATTTGGTCATAATGGTCGTTTAGGCTTTTATATATATACTAGAGGCCCGGTGCACAAAAATTTGTGCACTCGGGGGGCGGGGGGAGGGGGGTCCCCCAGCCCGGCCTGTGCCCTCTCGCAGTCTGGGACCCCTCGGCAGATAACGACCTGCTGGCTTAGGCCTGCTCCCGGGTGGCAGAGGGCAGGCCCAATCCCTAAGTGCAGCCCCTGGTCAGGCTCAGAGCAGGGCCGATTGGGGAGTTGGGGCGCCGCCCCGTCATGCACAGAGCAGGGCAGATCGGGAGGTTGCAATGCCACCCTCAGTCACGCTCAGGGTAGGGCCGATTGGGGGATTGG